TTAACCGTGGCGTCACTCAAAGAGCTCGGCTGTAACTATCGAGCATAATTTGAGTTGACAGGCAAAAACACTGCAATTAGGACTCAGCTTTTTTGCAAATCATAAGTAGAAACATGTACAACAGATGGAGAGCAGAGGGAATCGCTCAGTAGTCGTAAGAAACGAAATGTAAAAGTATAGAAAGCATGCTCAAGACTACAAAGGATTTTGAGCATGGTGCTTTTTCAAAACTGTCAAAATTTCAAGGTGCAAAAGATTGTATAAAAAACTTAAAGCAGAGTCATATGAGCCATGTTAAACCACAGACAGTCTGGGTTCTTATGCATAGGCCTACAGGATATAGCAAAAGAACGAATACAAAAAAAACATACATACCATACAAGACAAAACAATTTTTTAAAAATCCCCCAACAATATATATTTGTCAAAGAACTGTTTTTAAAATACCCCGAATGGTTTAAAGCCTGCACATTTCTGATCTGCTGCTACATTATAAACCATCCAGACTCTACAGTATGAGGTCATCTGGGACATGTCTGCTGTCCCTAGAGTCAAAGCTAAACCTGGAGAACCAGCACTTAGTTTCTCTGCATATGTGGAACAAATTCCCAGAAAACTCTCAGTTCTTTTATATTAGAGGCTTAAGACTTTACTGTTAAACACACGTCTTTATTATTAAATTAACTTCTGCATTTGAACTGTATCTTGTATTCCCCTGTTTTATACATTTTAGCTTTTCTTCTATTTTATTATATAGATATATATAATATATCATATTTATGTTGCTATGTTTATCTTGGTTAAATGCTTTTTTATATCTCATGTGAAGCACTTTACATTGCCTTGTTGAAAGGCTGAAATAAACTGGCCTTGCCTCACTCCAGCGTAGGTCAGCCATCTATCATAGAGCTGAAACATTTCTGCCGTACAGACAGACTAAAGCATTAAAACTCACACACACAAAAAGGAATGAGAAAGGTGTAACATGATCTTCTTAGAAAATGAAAAGGACCTTGTAAAAACAATAACATTTAATCATTATATCAAGAAACTGAGCCCTTTTTTGTCATAGTGGCAGCAATATAGGAAGGATTGTGTGTTTTTTTTTATCCAGCTGCAGTAATATGTTGGGTTTTATATTCCGCCCTGATATTAAAATATTTCATCTTATCACAGGCACACTTGGGAATTCACCACTCTCAATTAATTAAACACTGGAATTACCCAGTGGCCACCCAGTAGAACGCTTGGTTATATTTTTCAGTCATGTATAGCTCAACAGGCAGAGCACAGGGGTCAGGAATTTTAATTGGCATTAAATATGAACACACTGTGGATAAAATTGTCTCACCTTCGTCATTACAAGGGCCTCAGGAACTTGTACACTGCATAAATCAGACAAGTTTAGATTTTAAACTCAGGTGCATGTGGTAAATTAGGACTAACAGCGGAGAAAAGCATCATTTGAAGTCACGCTGCCGAAAGGTGTGGAGGACTAATGCTCTGCTGATGTGATTGCTGTGATCACCTATGCAAATCTGATTAAGCCCTGTTTAATCACACCCAATCAATCAGAGGCACTATCGTTCAAGTCAAAAGACATTTTAGACGACTCCGGTCCTGACAAACATTTTTATGATTTGTTCATTTATATTAATGAGGTCTTTGATCTATTTCAGACGCTTTAGGCCAGACAAATGAAACTCATAATAGCTTAATAAAGTGTGTGCTGCGCTTAAGGGTAGTGATATTATTTTTGGAAGTTTTAATCAAGCCAACCTTTGCTAAAAATTGAAGCTGAATAGTTCCCTATGTGCTGGTTATTGAATGGTGCGTGCTGCCCTGATGAAGTATCTCATTTGATCACTTTTAAAGCATGTTGTGAAGCCACAAGTATCTTTTTGTATTATTAGTATGAAATACTCTCTGTCTTTTGGATTTGTCTTGCTATTTTTCTTACCCAGTGATTTTTTATTATATTTCATTTTTTCAGCCTTAATCTCCCAAGCACGAGTACTAGCACATTATTTATTCATAATCCTATCCCATAGAAGCATGATTCTGGTGATTTGTAGGTCAATAGAGGTCTAGACAGTTAAAAACTGGCTTCATTTTCTGGGTTTTTTTTTTAGTACGAGCTTTCAACAGAATTAAAATTACTATATTTCCACATATTGTTGGGACCTGCTACAAACTGACATTCAGTCATCTACTGTCAATGCTGTTACGTAACAAAGATGTTACGTAAAAGATACTTTTACTTTTTAATCAATTTTAGCTACGTTTTAATCGTGATGTTCTATGACATGCAAATCACCCGATCTGTACTTACTGGGATGCTCTTAATGTATGGGATTTGTTTGACATAATCACCTTATAAAGTATATATATCTAACATGTAAGCAAACATGCAGAAGCATCTTTTATTTGGAGTCATGTTTTTGGTCTGTGTCGGTCTCCACCAACTCCTGAAGGAAATATCTGGCTCTTAAGCTGCCAAATGCTCCACCAGTTATTTGTTGTTTGGTGCTGGACAGGCAGCGTACAGTGGGTTTATTAGTACATTTTTGCTGCCGGCCAAAAACACAGTAATAAGAGCCTTGAGAGTGAACAAAAACAGTAAAGATGTGAGCGGTAAAATCAAGACAGTGAGCTGAAAGACGCTAAAAGAGTGATAAGTAGTCACTACGAACGCTGCATATTAGTCGTATTTTACATTGCAGATATAAAAATATTTTCTGGTGCAGCTTTAAATTGGTCTTTGTTCTGTGTACAACGCATGAGAAAGAATGGTCAAACCTCTTCACTCAAGCCTTAAAGATGCGCTCTGATGCGTCTCATTGTTCCAACCCTAACTCTCTCTCGGGTAAAGCCTCCACTCTTTAAGCCTCTATTTTGGCTCAGCTTTTGCAGACGCAGGAACACCACAGTCCCGACTGAAAATGGCTTCATTATACTGTACCACAAACTGGCTGCAAGTCTCTCTGGCAGAGTTTTGGAGCAGAAACACTCATTTGCACCGAGCACGTCTGGTGCCAAAGCTGACTTTGTCTGTCCCAGTCTGGGTAAACATGGCAGCTATAAACATGGACTAGCCCGGGCTGTTTGGGAACCCAACTCTCTGCTGCAGTTTATTCTAATGGTCGTGAATGTGCACATCTGCATTGGCGTTCCAGCACTCACAGCCTTTGTTGTCCTCTTTCTAAATTCAGTTATTATTTCTACATTTACTTCATTCTTTAGGTATAATTTGTCTTCTAAAATAGTCTTTCCCTCTTTCTTTAGTGCTGCCCTTTTATACCTCATTCCTGTACCGCTTCCCTTTTAAAAACAGTCCACCTTTTCTTTTTCTTTTTTACACATGAAAAAGGTAGACGGCAAGCCCCAGTAGGTCACAGTGCATTAACCACACTAATAAACCCATTACATTGCAATGGAATGGGATCCAAACGAGAGAGGGAGAGAGTGTTGAGTGATGGGGATAAAGAAAGGAGAGAGGCTGAGTTTGGCAGGGAGAAGTGGTAGACTGAGGAGGGTGAGATGAAGCACAATGGCAGGTTGGGTAAAAGCCTCACTGATGCACACTCAGTTTACGTATGTGCGCCTTTAAGCCCCTCTGCCTTTTCATTACCTCTTCTACCAGCATTCATTAAGGGGAGGATCTGCCATCTTCTGCCAGATCACTTTCACTTTCTGCTCCTACACGGCTCCTCTTTCTGAGCATTAGCGTCATTGTGGGGCCAATTACAACACTGCGGTGCGGTTCGGGGCCATAAATATCCACAACGTGTCCCCAACCTGCAATGCTCCTGTGAGGAAAAGAGAGGAAGCAGAGAGGAGGGAAGTGCAGGATGAGAATATGGGACAGAGGAGCAGCTGAATGCAGTTTTTAAATGTACTGCTCCAGAATCAGACCCTAGTGAACGTGTTTGTTACAGCTGTGGATGTCACAGCAATTCATAATTCAGTAACAGTTTTGTAACACTAGTGAAAGAATGGGTATGGAAATCATATGCACCACTTTAAATGAGGAGTTTATTGGTGATGAGGCATTTAGAGTGATTCATTCACATATTGTCTAAAATGCAGATTTGCACATACAGTGTCAAGGAACTATAGATAAAACTATGGTCTGTTAACATTTTATCTGTATGAATATCATAGTATCTATCTAATCCATATGGCTAAAAGTATGTGGAAACATTACACCAGTGAGTGATTATGGAAGATCTCATTGCAGAAATTTTGCAATTCAAATAGGCAATAGGTATGGCACACCAGTTGAGGTCATTTGCTGTGAAAGCTTTTAAATAGCAAGTATCTAATGCACTCCACTACATGGCCAAAAGTATGTGGACACCCAAATATTACACTCATATGTGATTGTTGACATCTTAATAATGGCATGTGTTTTGGTGTGAGGCTTCCACCAATTTTGGCCATATAGCTCAATACCACCCTTTACTTTAATAAAGGGTGGTATGGGATTATTAGACATCTCATTCCAAAACTATGGGCGTTAATCTGCTGCTGTGACAGCCTCAACTGTTCAGGGACGGCTTTCCACAAGACCTTGTGAACTGGCGCCACAGGAGCATTACGGAGGTCAGCCGCTGATGTTGGGTGATGTTGTTGTTCATCCTAAAGGTGTTTGGATTAGGGGTTGAGGTCAGAACGGTCAGTTAAGTCAGTCTTCAACGCCATACACAGAAAAGCACTGGTTTTGTGCATCCAGAACCCCTTATGTTGACAAGAGTGTCTACTTACTTATATTTTGCCTTAGAGCACTGTATCATAATCAATGGCCAATAGTATATGGACACTCATATGTGTCTCCATGTCATAGCATGCTGGATTATCTGTGTTGGATGTCTGTGATTTGGATATAATGTTTTATTTAGGCTTATATGTGGGTAAACAAGACAATATTATGTCCAAGAAAGCTCTGAATATACATACTCCACCAAAACATGCTGTGCTTGATTCTGTAGGTTTCACTGTCAGGGAGTGGCTGATATGGCTGGTTTCCTCTGATGCTCTGCTGACACCATGTGGCCGTCGCAGTAACTGCACCTCTGAGGCCGGGGCCAATAAGGTGAGCCAGTGTGAAAGGCTGGGATTTGTTGCTGTGTATAGTAGTGCCCAAACAACACATTCATCACCAGCAGACGCTCCGGCTCCTCTCCTAGTGTGCCGAATTGATGAACTATCAACACAAGTTTCATCACGTTCACTTTATATTGATAAAGCAATCATGCATGCTTTTCTTCTGTGTATCACGGTTTCCAAGACAAATGGGGTGTCAGAATCATACTTTTTTCCCACACTTCTGTGCTCTGCTGTGAGGAGGATGCGGGCTCCAAACTGTGGGTCACGACTGTTGTTTAGAGCTCAGCTTCCGAGCACATGGATCTTCATACTGCACATGAAGAAACATTATTTTCAATAATTTAAAAAAATACAGTTTTTTTTCAAATTATGTAAAGATTTAGATATTCTAGATAGACTAAACTAAAATTTTAATTTTGTAGTAGATCAACAGAAAATTTATCAGCAACAATTATGACAAAAAGTGAAACATTTAAGCAATTTATAAAGTAAAAATGCAAATAAAATTGTAATTAAATGTGAGAATTTGAATTTGAATTTGTTTAATGTTTTATATCATTGTTCAATTATAATATTTGGGTTTGGGACAGTTTGCTGCATAAAACAAGCAATGTGAAGACATTTCTTCAATATCTTCTTACATATTTGAAATGTATAGATTCATTGATAATGGAAATAATAGTAAACTGCTGCCTTAAATATGTCCTGATTTTAATTTTTTTTAAAGGTGAATTCCAGTGATTTACTTGCAAGAAATTGATTTTTAAAATTGTAGCAACAGAGGCAAAGATATCCTGACTTTTATTCAAAAACAAAGTATACTACATTTCCCACAATGCAACTTGTAGTATGTTGAATGTATTACAGTGTGTAATGCAGGCTTTTGGTTTTAAATTTGCCATCTCAAGACATAATACAACTGTTTAGGCTGAAAACTACTCTTTATGACAATTAACTTTTAAGTGTAAAATCAGCGGAGTGCCCCTTTAAATTTAAAAAAATAACTTATTTTTCCAAGTACATAGAAAACAGTCAATCATTGAATCAAAATAAGAATGAAACACTGCAACAATCATGACTCTGAAACATACGAAGCCTCCATTTTTTTTATTAATTCTTCTACAGTATACAAATATTCACACACAAAATGTTCTCAAAAAACCCCTAATGTCTCGTAAACATTCATTTTCTCCTCGTCTTGCAGTTCTGTCTTCTATTTCCTTCATTGTGTGCTGTATTGCCACAACCTTCCAAATATATATATATATATATATTTTTCTTTTTTTTT